TCTGGATCATCAGTGAAACTGTGTTGATGAATCAGAATAGATTGATGAGAGATTCTACCCATAATGCTTTGAGATGCATGATAAATCATTACCAGTAGATGTTATAGAGTCTCTTCTTTTACAGTGGGTACGGAAAGTATTCAGACCCCCTTAAATTTTTCACTCTTTGTTATATTTAACCAACGTTTAAATCATTACCTGCTTCAAAATGAATGCTGTTAACAAAATTATTGCTGAAACATTTGAAGTTAGCCTACTGTACGAATAAAAACACTGTAAAGAAATTACATAAACGGTGAATAACTGTACAAGGCGAATTAAGGTATATGTGCATACAAAGCTTAAATCTTTATTCAGATTTCAGAATGAGCACTTTGTCATTTGTAATACATATTTTGAGTGTGCCATGTTTATCATGTTCGTCTGATGTTCGCTGCTGTAATGTATATAAACGTAACTTTTTAATACGCAGGGAAATTCCCGACATTGAACAAATAACCGCTTACATGCCCAGGACATTTGTGTTGTAAGAATGTACTGGGATACTAAAGATATAAAAATGCTGACTGGTTAAGTGATGTTTTATCATTAAAAACGCACGATTTTAATGATAAAACATTAATTCAATAGAATGTATGGGAATAATACCAATATGGCGGCGCGGAGGCTTCACTTTTATGACGTCATGAGTGATCCAGTTCTCTATTATAGATTAGTAGTAATATTTACAAAGTTTGTCCAATTCATACGTCATTAATGGCGGCTCACTTCTGTGATTTAGTACGATTGCGTTCACATCAGAAAGGGAGAGACACGACAACATCCCCGCAGGACATGGAATCTCCCATGCCGACGACAAGTTGGGCTGACCAGCTTATTCCTTTGGATGAGCTGGGGGAACCGGTCGCTTTCGAGATGGAAATCGAGTCTGTGACGAGTGGGGGCGGGGCTGAGAGCCGTGGGAACGGAGCGAGGCCGGTGGAGTAATTGATAATGAGCGA